AACGACGCCGATGCAGCGAAAAACAGCCACGTAAAAGAAGATTATCGGTATTTGCTGCCAAATTCGTTGCATCGCACTTGAATGGGGGCGGGGTTAATGCAAATCATTATGTTTGAATACGCTCTCCCAGCTAGGCCCACAAAAAAAAACTGAGAATGGCGAAGGAAATCGAGATGGTGAGTGGAAGTTTTGTCCAGGGAAAGATCAGGAAAATCTTCAAAGCAAACTAGTCGATTACAGCCCGAAACAGGACAATCAAAAGCAACGAACCTTGAAACACAGGAACAAACCAAACGGATCGAAATCTACTATTCACAAATCACAAACTATGACCTTTTGAACTGGTTCAAGTAAACGTGTGTTTCCTAAGAGATCCGCTAAGATGATTAACGGAACAGAAAAACCCCAGTACTGCTGGTGAAGTTAGAGTTATTTGGGTGGCGTAAGACGGGTAGCAAACGGGTCCCACAACACTACTTACACCGCAAGTGACTCAACTTGTCGGTTAAGCCCTCTAGTACTTCTGGTGAAGGTGAAATTATTGGGGAGGTTTAAGACACGTAGCAAACGGGTCCCACAATACAACTAACACGGACAGTGACTCACCTTGTCAGCGTAAGCCTGAAAAAGGACGCCATACATGGCAGCACGGAGCTTAAGATCCTCATCATAAGCACTTGGTAAAGGTGGGGGTTTCTCTTCCTGTTCAGCGGCTGCTTTGCCAGTCTTTCCTTTGTCATCAGTCGATTTACTTTCCTTTGAATCTTGTTTGTCGGTTTTTCCACCCTTACCTAGGACCACCATCAAGTAAAGAATCATATTCAACATGGATGTAATACAGCAAACACGGCAAAGGGTGGTTTATCGTGATTTCCAAACACGGGAAAATTAATGAAACCCGAATGCGCTTTGAGTGTCTTTGCGTTTGATAATTCCCAGGAAACTCTCGCATTCGTTGTGAAATATTTCTGCATCCTTACGCCACGGCTCTTCAAAAATAGCTTTTGAAAATAAACCCACACAGGAAACAGGGTAGCTAAGTGCGCTTACGAGCTAAGGCAGCACAAAAACGGTCGGAGCTGAAACAGTTTTTGCAGCATGAAGCACCTGGAGGTTTTGCTCTAGATGGCATACCTATCGCAGGGTTTCCCCCAAAAACGTGTCCAGTCGAAAACAACGCGAAGGTTTAAACCTGAGGCTACTAATCTGAAATTCGATGTGTTGGAAATTGGTACTCGCCAGTCGTATCAATGCTGGGTAGAATACTTGAGCGACTTATAAATACATATCATTACCTGTTTTTCCTTTCTCTTTCTCCTTTTCTTTCTCTTTCTTCTTATCACCCCCCTTTTCTTTGGCCTTTTTATCTCTGTCACTTTTGCTACTTATAGGCTTCTTGGACGGCTTCTTTTCTGGAGAGGACTCTGTGTCTTCATCGTCATCCTAAGTGGTGAAGAAAGAAATGGAAAAAATTGTAAAAAATAATAAATGTCATAAATTACTTACAAACCTTACACAATTACATAGCTGATAGCCCTCCTCTTGGAAAACTTGGGAAGATTAGAATGTCATAACTCTGTCCCAAAGTTATACACTGACAAAAAGGAAGACGATGGTTGATTAACGTGCACATGTTAGTTTTTGTTTTACAGACACTTTCGTCTCACCTCATCTTCCTTTCCGACTTCATTAGCAGCTACTGCAGCAATACACTCCAACACAGCTTCCATTGGTTCCCTTAGCAACTCCCGCTCAATAGGTTCCACAATAAACGGCTTGATGGCATTCCAGTAGTGGCGAGCTGCCGCGATTACCAACTCGTAGTTCCCTGCCTTCTGTCCAAACCTAACAAGGAGTCAAAGAATATAAATCACAGAGGTTTCAAATAAGGTATTGAAAAATGGCACGAATGCGTTGGTTTTGAGTTGCTTCGTGTCCCTCTCTGGTTTTGTTTCGCTTTTTTTATATAAATGCATTTGTGAAGAATAGCCACAACTGAAATGAATGAATGCTCCAATTATATAGGAGGAACTCTGAAGGGACAAGCAAACAGTTCACCGAAACTCAGTTCAGTTCAGGAAAAGGCAAACGACAGAACATAATCAAGCACACGACTCCTAAACGCTTAAGGTCGATAATTACATATTTCTACAAAAGATCTAATTTTCAGGTACTAACACATTCTTATAACGGTATGAATGAAGCTCTGGTCCAAGGTGTAGGTTTTAGCCATAGGAATCGAAAGAGCATTACTAAGCATAAAAATGCTGGATCCTGTGACTTGCCCTTAGATCTAAAGGGAGAGAGTGGGAGGGTACAGAGTGGGAGCACAGCAAACTGTGATGCAAACTATAGTCGCTTTGCAACTGGTCATTCACGAGGTACAAAACCGCCATTGCAGGGCTCCAAATTAATTTTTTGGATAACTGATCCTTCGGGTTAGTGGGCATAAATTTTACGAACCAAATTATAAAGTTTATTATCCAAGAATCTGTTCTTGAACTTACAATATAATAACAACTGAAAACTTTGCTAATAAATGGGGCAAACATGGCCCATGTTGAAGAGAAAGAGGCGTCCTGACAGAACGCAAACAAGGAAATTTGTTTGTCTGATCCAAGAGCTTCCCTTTCTCTACAACATGGCTGCTTTGAACCACGTGAACGACTAACTGCAAAATGCCTATTGATAGCTTACGCCAATACTGTAACACTTTCTTCAAACACCAACAATTCTGGAAGCCCTTCTTAGTACGGAATCGTCTGAATGCAAGCCTTGGACCACAGAATACAAAAGAAAGCAACTTGCAAGAAATAATCTACCTACCTGCACGCATTCACAAAACACACAAGCGCATCTCTCCTAATTTCGTTCTTTCCTTGCATGTTTTTCATAAGACTCTGGCCCATCACCACACTACTGTAATACAACATCTCCTGCTCCACAACAAGCTTGTGCTGAAACAGTCTGAAATTCAACAACATTTTACATCACTGTACTGCATTAAAAGATCTCTTGTTCCATAACACGCGAGCGCTGGATTAGTCTGAAATTCCACCACACTTTTGATTAATTACGGTACTGAGCCAAAACCTCAAGGTAAGAATCGTTGGCAATTGTATAGACTTTGTGAAAACTGTATAGTAGAACACCTAACATTTGCGTATGACTGTAGTTGCTACCTCGTTCATTTAAAATACACCTTTTGGACTTAGAAGTAACGAAAATGTTCGTTAAAAAATAAATTATGAACAAAAGTGCCGTGTTTAACCTGGAGTTCTTTCCCTTGCCCTTCATCAGTGGAATCACCAGTTCCTTGAAACCGTTGCAAGGTTTATATACGACATAAATTAAAAAATAAGCAACTTTGTAGTGCGCGCGCTGCTCTGCGCGCGGCTTAGAGGAAACGAAAGTCGGAGTTTAAACCGCGCCGCTGGCTGGTACCAAGTTGAAAAATCAGTCGCATTTCCAGGCGCTTCCTTTGCGCGTTATCCTTACAGAGCATCATTCC